CTCGCGTCCCGCCTCTAATTAAAACGTATTACCGCGTATCGCCGCGGCCTCTGGTTCTCCTACTTCGCGTTAATCCGCGTTTTCGGGACACTTTAATTACGAGGTTCTCTCTGGTCTGCTACGTAGATTTCTCATTATCAACGCTGGAACTGCCGGGTGAATGAAACCGATCCGTCCCGGGTTCTCCTGTTGCAATTATAGCGTACGCAACGCGAGCCGGACGATGGATCGATCGAAATCTCAATAGGTGCTCGTGGTATCCGCAGAAAAATTTAATAAAGCCGTCTCGTCTGCTCGGTAATTCCAGCGTGAACCGCCTGATATTGCGAGCCGGCGATTGCCTTGTCAATGTACGAACGCACGCGACCGCCGGTGTGCCGGCGTCTCGAACCTCGATTGCTTAAATTGCAATCTTGCGCAGCAAACCGCGACGCGGCGTCGTCGAATGAATGATTCCCCCATTCCTGCGGCACCGGCGTACACGGGATATCTTCGGCCGCGATATTGGCCCAACAGGGACGACGCTGTTCTGCCCGAACCTCGCCGGGAACATCGTCCGCTCGTGGTTCCACTGCCCTTCCGAATCGATTCCCTTTCCTCCGCAATCTCGCCGCGGATTCGATGAAATCGGGATTCTTCCGACTAATTTACCGGGTCGAACGCGCCGCGAGTTACGCCGGCGTATCGACACCATGCGAATCAATGGCGTCTGAAATTGAAACCCTTCGCGAGGAGAGCGTAAGATCGAGCGATAATCGATGTAGCTCTCAAAGGTACCGCTAGATCATTCGGAGACTAAGCTGAGGAATTCAGATGAGCGATCTCTTCATTTTGTCTCCTGCAATTTTCTGCGGTTTCATTTCTTAACCCGTTGCACTCGACAATATTCATTACATTCATTATTTCCTCTCGAAATATTAACATTTGCACATAAGAAACATGTTGCATATATCATGGAGCAGAATTTGTATTTCTATGTCGCATTTTTATCTCGAGTGCAAAGGGTTAACTCCTGAATTTTAGCAATTTGTTATTCGCGAATACGGTTAGATGTAACCAATCGAAACTTTAAGACCGTTAACTAGAAATTGTAGACGTTTTTGGTATTTCATTATACCTGTACAGTTGGTAGATGATTCGATGTCTAGCGGAATGATAGGCAAGGTGTCTTTCTAGTTTATATTTCTAGTTTCGATCGGCAACATGTGACTATTCACGAATAACAAATTAGTGATAGAAAACTCGTCAAATGATTTACCAGTAACGTTCGACCTATCTCCGTTCTTCCCTAGATCCCCGGAGCTTGATCCACATTTGATACACCATCAAATCCCGTATCCTATTCCCGTTCACCGCAAATGATACCCGCGCGATGGAACGGATAAACGTAACGAATAACGCGTTCGCGGCAGCAATTAACGCGATAATTCGACGAACTCGTCCGACACGGTATAAATCACCGCGGCGATCTCCGAACGCGACCGGTCCGTTGGCAACGTCCACGCAGTCGTAAATTTTCCGTCGAAAAGCGGCGGGACGTTTATTTACAAAAATTCGTTCGGCTCGTCACCGGGAAATAACCGAAAAATCGGGGCGGCCGCGAGCGCGCGGAACTTTTCCAGCGTAATTACGAGCGCTCGGCGTCGAGTGGATCGTCGACGGCCGCCGCGGGAACAGTTTTTGAGGTGCGAAAGCTTCTGGAAAAAAAGCGATATGAACTCCGCTCGGAAACGACGATTTGTCTCGAGCCTCCTCCTCGCTGCTCGACTCGAGAATGCCCGCCCTCGAAGCCCGTATTTCATCCCGCGCTCGTGGAAATTCAATTTCCGATCCGGCGCTTTGTAATCGGAGGGTTAAGGCGCGCGAAAACGAACGATTCCTCGAGCTATCAGTCGCGCGTCCGCTGTCGATGGCTCCTCGAACGTTTCGGGTTCCGAGCCGGGACCAATAATTCGACGCGACTCCACCGTCGCGTTTTATATTGGCTCGTAACATGAATATCTTCGAATGTTCGACATCTGTTCGCGTTATTACGTTCGAGGAACTGGCGAAATAATGAATGTAAAGTCGACGTTGCTTCTTCGCGCCTCTGCGATGATCGAAGTATTCGTATCGCCGTCGAATAGTTTCGTCGATGGAACCGGTCAATACGGAAATTCTCTATTTTTACGCGACCTTCGAGCGTTCCGCGCCTTTCGTCCATCGGGGAGACACCAGACTCTATGAATTTATATGCCGGCGCCGATCGCTCGCTCGAAATTTCGAATCGGGAACAACGGCGAGACTAAAAGCAGACCGTGGGACGCGGTTATTGCGAGGAGACGGCCGCGCGGACCATTGATGAAACTGCGCGGAGGGTGCACGCCCCGGGCGATGCGATCGAACGGAAATCCGATATGTACGTAGGAAGGTGACGCTTCGTTTGCAATTGGCCCTGGATAATCGAAAGAATCGCGTGCCCGGAAAAATCGAGTACGCGCGAATCGCCGCATTATTCCGGGAACTTGCGCCATTCCGAAAAGCCCGGAATAATCGGGCTAATTGGGGCCTCGCTTCGATTCACCCGCGACGCATAATGGTTATCTAATTACGCGCGTTTGTTAGAGAACTACTACGACTTCTGAAACCAGAAATACACCAGAAATACACCAGAAATTCACGTGGGCCCACCCATTGGAACGGCCATCGTGTCCGTGCACGTGTACGCTACGTAGATGATTTAAACCTTTTCACTCGGACGCTTTTCATTAGACACATTGGACGCTAATGAGGAGACATGTAAAGTAAGGAACAAAACTATTTCATAGTAATACTTCACATATCGATGCGTTATATAAAACGACGCTTTCCGATGAGACATAGGCGACACTATTTGAAACGAATTAATGAGGAGACATGTAAATTAAGAAACAAAACTATTTCATAGTAATACTTCACATATCGATGCGTTATATAAAACGACGATTTCCGGTGAGACATAGGCGACACTAGTTGAAACGAATTAATGAGGAAACATGTAAATTAAGAAACAAAGCTATTTTACAACAATACTTCACATATCGATGCATTATATAAAACGATGCTTTCCGATGAGACATAGGCGATACTACTTGAAACGAATTAATAAGGCAACATGTAAATTAAGAAACAAAGATATTTTATACAAATTCTTCACATATCGATGCATTATATAAAACTTTATTATATATAATATTAAGTATTAATATAAAAACTAAAAAGTATTATATATAATATTCCTTTTAGTCTGATTATAACAAGTCACTCGAGAGTCACCTTTTGAGTGCAAAGGATTGATGATTACCGGAACATTACCAGTCCTTTTCCAGTTTCACAGTTTTGATCGATTACGTGTAATCGTACCGATGAATAGCAAATCAGCGACACAATAAATTAGAAAACACAACCAACAGAAAATTAAGCGAGGGAAGATATGAGCTGATCAATCAGCTGCATTCTTCAGCCTTAACCATCGAGTCATCTCCCTATAGTACGTTTACACGTCGCTCGGGAAAAATGACGCAACTGTCGTCCAGATTTCCCTTTCCCCCGAATCGCCAAGGCGAATGTTTAATCACCGATGCAGCTGGTCGTCGTCGCTCGATAATTGCCGAGCGAAATCGCGTCCGCGTTATTAGAAAGAGGAAACGTCGGGAATCGTGTCATCCGCGAACTCCGCCGCTCTCCCAGTCTTTTCGCCGGAGGCTTTTTCCGTCCAGTGTCGCTGGCAATTATTTACGAATTATCAACGAATTATCAACGGGAACGTTCGTTCCCTTCTTTCGCATTTCGGAATATTGTCCCGCGCTCACCGCGAAGCCCGTTGTCCGCGTTCATATTTTATCCGGATTAATCGGATTCGCGCGTTTCGCGACAACGCGCGCGGTTTCCAAATAATGTAATGCACCGATTTATGAGCTTTCATTCGACGGTTTAACGCTAGAACCGCCGGCCCGGTCGGTCGAAATTACTGGTTTGTAATTTCCTACAAAAATTATGCGCGGGAATATCGGGCGAATTTGATTATCCTATTCGCGCGAGTAAAATCGTCCGTTTAATACGTTGAACGCCGCCCGATTTCCATAGAGCGAAATCCGCCGGCGACGGAAAGAATCTGATAGCAAATCATTCGATTGAGCCCGGCTTATCATTATTGCACGCCGGTCTAGCTGAATATCGCCGCATTATGCGGCACTAATAATATAAAAATGTTTTCAAGTAATCATCGTTTAATCGAGCGAACTCGGACTTAATGAATTCTATTGGAGGTCGCCGGTGACCTCCATGGCGTTCGACGTATTAACCCTTTGCACTCTTAGTCACTTGATTCGATGCGGTGAAACTATAAAATTCGATATTCAATACCATACTTTGTATAATGCATCGAAACAATGGAATAAAACAGCTTCGTTCAATTTACTTACCATTCCTCCTTGACATGTTCAGCGCCGCACGATTTTGCCGAGGCAAATATGGGAAATGAAAATAATGTAATCTTATGCAATTGAATTACGTTGCTATTACGGGTTTGAATCGTTGAATATCGGCGCAGCAAGTGGTATTACTTATAATATAGAAAACTTCAATCATCCTTTCATCGAATGAACTATACTAATTCGATTTGGTTGACGTCGCCGGTGACCCCCATATCATCCAACGTGTTAAATCCGCTTCAGTTTTAATTTATATATTTCATTATATCTCTTCAGGAAACGTTAAATGCTTCTATCGAGAATCTTCCGAGTGCGAAGGGTTAATAATAATATAAAAGAAGCCACTCGCAATTCTTGGAAGGCAATCCGCGGTCTAAATTACTAATTCGCTTCTGTTTCGCAGAGCCAGGATGAGGTCCGTCGTGAAGATCCTAGGTGCTTCGCCGAGCAGTCCGAACTGGACGCTCGAGACCGACATCCACCCGAAGAACACGATCGCCCTGTTCGTCGCGAGGCGGAAGGACACCGTCCCCAGAGTACCGAACGCGTAAGTACGTCACAATTTTGCGGAGGGACTTTTATTATCCGGCCGCGGAACGGTACCTTATCCCTTGAGCCGCGTTACGAGTCGCAGGGCCTTTGGAGCGGGGCAAAGAGAACACGACGGAAGAAGCTCGCGCGCGCGCGCGCTCCCACTTTATTGCGTCAATCCCAGAAAAAGAGTAAACGCGACGTCTGCTTGAATACACGCGGCTCCCAGCGTTTGAACTGCTGCAGCAGGATGCAAGGGGACAAGTGTTGACAAAAGATATCGGTGTCTGACACGTGGCACTCCGCAGCTTTGGACACGCCGCAAAGCGCGAGCTTTATCATTTGAACAAGCGTCGCGATTTAGCGTAGCGATACTACTCTTATCAACCCTTGGAATACCGGAGGGTTTCGCCGAGAGAAAGATCACACAGTACAGTATCAAGTCGTTTAATTCAGCCGTTCTCTACGCGTCTTACAGAGCGTCACCGCGTATGTTACATCATTTACCACCGCGTTCGCTTGGAATCCGGAGATAACGGATTGACTGCGAACTCGGCTGTAAAGAAGAAAACGTTACATTATTTCTAATACAGAGGATCTGAAAGAATAATCATCCGGTCGAACGAATTACGGTATTCAACGCGTCAGTTGAATGTACCTCGACGAATCACTGCGCCTCCTGTCTCTGTATCTGTATCGACCCGAAGTTATCCTCCTGATCCTCGGCGGATCGCTGAGTCCTCGGCTTGTTTTCCTCCGACGAGGAGCTACTGCTGTCCGGATCCTTCTGATCCTCTTCATCCGCGTCCCGTTTCCTGCGGTAGACCGGCTGCTGGGAAACTATCCCGCACTCCGCGCCGCCGCCATTATCGCCGCAGTTGCCGGCGACCTGTTTGTCATCCTGGCCGATGTGTCTCTGGCACCTGCCCTTGCACTTCTTGTCGTCATCGTCGTCGTCGCTGTCGCTGTCGCTGTCGTCGTCGTCCTTCTGGCACTTGCTCTTCTTCTTGCTCTTGCACTTCTTGTCGTCATCGTCGTTGTCGCTGTCGCTG